CTTTCTGGAGTAGAAAACCATCTAAATTTGAAACATATTTTACACTGGAAATGAAGTAGTAAAGAATTTGACTCCAAAGAGCAGTCTGGGCTTTGTTCAGCTTCTAGGAATTATCTATATCTTCGTTTAAAATGGGGGTTATACTTAATGGACATGAATTTGAGAAAACTCTGGGAGATAGTGAAGAACAGGGAAGCCTGGTGTACTACAGTTCATGGGGTCGCAAGATGACTTAGCGACTGAACAACAATTCTCTTGATAGTCCCATGGATAGCAAGGAGATAAAACCAGTCAATCCTAAAGGAAATCAACTGTGAATATTCACTGAAAGGACTGATGCTGAAGCTGAAGCTCCAATACTTTGGCCACCTGATGTGAAAAACCATTGGAACAGACCATGATGCTGGGAAAGACTGAGGGCAGGAGGAGAAGGCAGCGACAGAGGATGGGATGATTGGATGGTATTACTGACTCAATGGACATGAGTTTGAGCAAACTCTGGGAGATAGTGAAGAACAGAGAAGCCTGGAGGGCTGTAGTCCTTGGGGGTGCAAAGAGCTAGACAAGACTTAGCAACTGATCAACAACAACAACAGATTTTAGGTTGGGACAGGCCAAACCCAACAGTCTTAGGTTGGCCATGCCAGAAAGACAACCACGTGGTTTAGGATGGGTCATGTAGTATCAGTCAAACTGGGGGCAGAGTTCAACCATGTGGAATACTCAATTGATCATGCCTATGTAATGAAGCCCCAGCAAAAGCTGAACCATGAGGTTCAGTAGCACTTTCCTGGTTGGCAATACCCATGTTCCTTGTCATGCATCAATGCTGGGAGGGCACTGATGAGAACATCCTGAGAACAATACAAGTTCTGTATGTGGAACCCTCCTAGACTCTGACTACTGTCTCTCTTCCTTGGGGTGATATTTATGTGTATCTTTTCTCTGTGATAAACCATAACCATGAAATAATGGCTTTCTATGAGTTCCACGAGTCCTTTAAGGAAATTATCAAATATAAGGGTGGTTTTGGGAAACTCTCAAACTTGCAGTTGGTATAAGAAATGAGGATGGTCTTGGGAACTGTGCTCTCAAACTTTAGTTTGGCTAACTCTGGGAGGGAACATACATATTTTTCGGTGTAACTCTGAATATTTCTAGAATCTTTCTTGTGCAGTCATCTCCCCTTCAATGTGGATATGACCTCTGATCTCAAAATACTACAAAAAGATGGCATATATGATTACAGGTACATGATTGCTACAAAAACGGTACTGTTCATCTTGTTGGAACACTAATCTTCCTTTCTGGCTGTGAAGAAGAAATCTGCCATAATATGAGCTGCCCAATGGTGGAGGCCATGTTGCAAATAACTGGGGGTGGCCTTCAAACAACATCAAGCAAGAAACTGAGGCCCCTAGTCCCACATTCTGAATGGAGCTGTGGCCAACAACCACATGGGCTCATACACCTTTACCTACTGACCCGTGAAAAGAGGGCATAGCCCTAGCCAACAGAGACTGCAGATGAGATAAGCAAAGCCATGGACAGAGGAGCCTGGAGGGCTACCGTCCATAGGGTTGCAAAGAGTTGGATACATCTGAAGCAACTTGGCACAAGCAAAGCCATACTTGGACTCCTGAGCCACAGAAACTGTGGGATAATAAAGGTGTGTTATTTTAGATCACTATACCTGTAATAAATAACCAATAAAATAGGTAAGTAGTCTTATTCTTCAGAAATGCAACATTAGAGGGCTATCTCCAAAATGAAAATAGAATCATGTCACTCTCTGGCTTAAAAAAAATTATCAGTGGTCTCTCACTGAATACAAATAAAAGTCAAACACCACAGCAAGGTACAAAAGACTTTTCCTTAATCTGACCTCAAGTACCCTGTCTGATCTCTTAATGTGTACCACCCCCCTAACCACTTCTCTTTCTCCTTCTAAGCTCCAGCCATATACAACTAATCATAAAATATCTTAATGATCTATCCTCCCCACCTATATGCTGTTCCCATTCCTAGAGCAATTCTCCCTTGGTCTGCTCCTGCCCTGACTACCCCTCACTTTCTCTACAGAAGTAAGACTGGGACCGCCTCAGTGGCTTTGCCCTTTCCCAGATCACTGCAGAAAATTTCTGTGTAGCAGGTTGCTCACTGTGCCTTCTATTGCTTGTTTGCTGCCATTCTTGCTTACTTACAAACTCTTCCTCCTTGAAGGGAGAAAATGAGTTTTGCTTGTCTGGGTTTATTTTTCTACAGTACTGGCAGAGAAGTGGCACTCAATAAACTTCTACTAAAGGAATGATTTTACTCTGCTGACAAAGGTCCGTATAATCAAGGCTATGGCCTTCCCAGTGGTCACATACGGTTGTGAGAGCTGGATAGTAAAGAAGGCAGAGAGATGAAGAATTGATGCCTTCAAAACTGTGGTAATGGAATAGACTCCTGAGAGTCCCTTGGACAGCAAGGAGACCAAACCAGTCACTCTTACAGGAAATCAACCCTGAATACTCATCAGAAAGACTAATGCTGAAGCTGAAGCTGCAGTATTTTGGTCACCTGATGCAAACAGCCGACTCACTGGAAACATCCCTGATACTGGGAAAGACTAAGGGCAGAAGGAGAAGAGGGCATCAGAGGATGAGATGGCTGGATGGCATCACTGATGCAATGGACATGAACTTGGGCAAACTTTGGGAGATGGTAAGGGATAGGGAGGCCTGGTGTGCTGCAGTCCATGGGGTTGCAGAGAGTCGGACATGACTGGGGGACTGAACAATAACAACAAATGAATGAATGCCAATAAAACTATACACATTGGTCATAACTTTTCAAGGAAAAAAAAAAGTTATAATCCACAAAATAATTTTCTGTAGTACAAAGTACCAAACTGTATACCACAGTAAACTATGAACCTCTAAGATTCTCTAAATTTATTCAACATCTTTTCAGTTCACTTCTCAACATCCCATTAAACCTGCCACACAACAGAAAACAAATCAATATCTGCTATTTCATTACTAGATATTAGTCATAAAATCAATATTTTCAAATAATTTAAAGTCATAAAATCAACCCATATCAGAGAATATCACAACTAAATTTAAAACTAATTCACATTCAAGTAAAAATGTAAGTATTCACGTCTTAGTTTATTCAAGCTTTTTTTTTTTAATTCAAGCTTTAATTCAAAAAACTCCAAAGTCAATTTTGAATGGAAAAGTAAACAAACCAGTATTCTTTCACTTTCTAGTTTTTTTTTTAACCAAATATTCATATCCACACTTACTGAAATTTCAGCTGAGAAGAGAAAGAAAGGTTACTTTGATTGCTAAAAGTACCAGTGATAAAATTAATTTTTAAAGATGTTCACACAGTTATCTAAATACCACTTCAACTTCAGAAAAAATAATAGTAAGGTAATTAATACTATTTTCTTCATTCAGCAAACAAAAATATATTTTACTATCAAATCCAAAATTTTAACATTTATATTTAAAAATCTGATTCTGACAGTTGAATTTTTGTTACATGTAACAAAATAAAGGGGGAAGTGGGCCTCAAATGACTAAACTAAAAAATAATTTGTGCTATGAGTACTTACTACACAAGGTAAAAAATAACAGAAGTTTATGATAATCAGTGGAAGCAATCTGAGTACAGCAGTTACAAATATTTTAGTTCTCTAGTACAACACACTACATTTCACCCTGCAGAAAGAATGTTGGCAAAGACCTCTACCACATGGAAACTGCTTGTAAAGCTGTTAGGCCCTGAAATTCTATTCAACAGTTTGAAATCACTCCACAGCTTTTCTCATTCACCCTCCCACTTGGGGCTAATGCGAGCCATGACCATCTATTGAGGAAAACCACAAAAAACTTCAAAACAACTACAACGGTAGGCTCTTTTCTCACCTATTATTTTAAATATTGTTTCTTAAAATGTGACATCTAACAATCTTAGTAAATGTAAAGGCAATCTTTAATCTTTGTAAGTTTCAGTTACCTCGGACAACTATTTTTTAACAAGCACTTAAATATATCACCGCATAACTTGAATGTCCATGCAGGCAAGAACAGCGTGCTGTAAAAGTCACAAAACCATGTTATGCTTAATTTCAACCATTGACTTTTTTGACAAACTAGTATCTAAAATGCAGCACCAGCAATTCTGAGTGATTCTGTCTGAAGTTACTTAAGAAAAAGTATAAAATGTACACCACCAGATAAAATCCAGTGGTGAGCCTAAAAGAATCTTTCCTATTTCATTCCCTTGAAATCTTTGATTAAAGTTCTATTATTTTTCTAGTCTGCAAAACTATTTTTTGCATTTTTCATACCTTAAATTTTAAAATAAATGCTATTAACTAAAAATAATTCTATCTATGGAAATTATAAAACTGAGGAATTCGAAATTATGGCTTTTTCAATATTCTGGATTACCTAAAAGTTAAGTGTTAATGACTATTTTTCATAATGTTAAATTTAAAGTTTAAGTTCTAAAACTGTTCCTGGAACTTGTTTCTGCTCATACCAATACAAATCAGGAGTTCTTATAAAGTAGCAAAGCTGAAATATGATATTTTTAACTCACATGAGACAGGATCATGGGTCTTCATTTTAACTGTTTATATCACAGGTATTCTAAGAAGACTTCAATTGTATACCTTTGTTCAAGGTAACTAATTATTAAAAAACTGAAATTATCAATGTTGCTTGGATTTTTGATAGAAAAAGAACTAAAACCATTTTCTGAAACTATTTTTCAGAATATCACTGATACATAAAAACTTTTAGCATCTAATTAAAGATCACAAGGGGTTAAACACTGTTCGCTGGCCCCTGCTGCGTGTACCCTGCCAAAAAGTCCTCTAAGCTTTTAAATATTGCTTCTATGGTCTGCATTTTTATTTCCAGGGAAAAAGAGAATATTGTCCCACAGTCAGCAGGCCACTAGCTTATTAGTTTTCAGTCACCTTAATTTCTATTAAAATGAAGACTCTGCAATCTACACTTCTCCTGTTCCTGTTTGTGCCTCTGATAAAGCCAGCACCACCATCTCAGCAGGATTCACGCACTATCTATGATTATGGAACAGATAATCTTGAAGAAACCGTTTTTAGCCAAGATTATGAGGATAAATACCTGGATGGAAAAAGTACTAAGGTATTTTATTTCTACTCTAAATTTAATTTCTAAAATAGTTACCCATTTAAATGCATGTTTTTGTTTTTTTTCAATGTGTCTGATAAGGTAAGAGGAAAGGAAAAGCACTTGAAATGATTCAAAACAATTCAAAATAACTGTCCCTAAAACTATATTTTTCAAGTATGCATGCTTCCCAAATTAATAAATAGACTCTATGATAACCAAATAGTATCTGTAACAACCAAAACATAAAATTTAAGGAAAACTAAAATTTGAAATATAAAATTTAAGGAAAATTCAATTTAAAGACAATCTCTCATCAGCAGAGATTTACATTTAAGTCATGATACATAGTGCCTTTTATTTGCATATTAAAATAAAATAGGAGAAATGTGTATTAGGAGAAATACAGATGGATTACCAGCTTAAGGTTTATTATTTTAGGAAGAAGTAGTTCAAGTACATAAATAGAAGAGTACTGCTTGTTTTGTGTCTACAGGATTTCATAATAATTCACGTATGTCAACTACACAGTATCAAAAAATTAAAACTACTAATATGGAGCATGATTCTCAATCAATTTCAACAGTTTAGGCTCTATCATTTTACCAAGTAACTGTCACTGTCATTGTCTACAGGGGTGACTTTCATACCACATTTTTCATCTTCTGCTTGTACAGGGACTAAGTAATTACTTGTGGTTTTACTGGAACACAGAAATGAATACTGGGGAAAGACAAAGTTAATACAGCATGTAAGGATCTGCTGCCTGCCTACTGTGTGTCTGTATGTGTCTTTCTCACACACACACACAATGGACAATGAGAGATGCAGCCAAACACTTCACAATGTTGATTCCTTCAAAAGTTCTCTACTATAAATGAGATGATAAGTGTTTTAAGAGTGAACAGTTACAATAGATTCTTTTTTTTCAGTACAGATGAGCAAATGTTAATATTATAATTTCTTTCAATGAAGTTGGCTAATATGCTAGTATTATCATTATCATATATGTATATATTAATAATATAATATATGTATATATAGTCATGCTTCCCAGGTGCTTAGGGAAAAAAAAAAAGGCCTATTATAACAAGCTGTTGGCTCACATGGCTGATTTCAATCTTATCAATCAGTTTAAAGAATACTTTCAAAATCTCCTGGTCCCTAAAAAGTAGTAAATAAAAAAGTTCTCTGCTTCTTCTGTTTACATTGCTTTAGGAGTCTAACTACAAACACAGGGACCAAGATATTTGTGAAGTGGACCAGAATTCAACAGCACTTAATAGACAAATGGAGAGTGGAGGGACTGTTCAACCAGAACATTTATGGGAGAACGCTGCCTGTAATCCCTCAGTTTTACAGTCCAAATTGTAAATAATACCAAAATTACCAAATTGTAAATAATTGTAAATAAACGTTTATTTTTTCAATAGGAAAAAGAAACTATGATAATAGTACCCGATGAGAAAAGTTTTCAATTACAAAAAGATGAGAGTATAACGTCATTACCCCCCAAGAAAGAAAATGATGGTAAGTATGAATACTCTATTATCCTATTTTTAAAAGGAGCTTTAAAAAGTAGCTTACAATGGAACTTTATTTGTTATAGTTATCAAAATTGCATCAGGATACAGTAACTCCAAACAGTGGAATTTTATCTCCAATGATAAAGTCAAACAGGTATATTGTGAATTTTCACCATTTGCCATTCCACATCATAAGTGAAAAACATGGAATAGGAACATTCAAGAACAACCAAAGTTCAGTTTAGGTTTAGCCTCTATAAAGTGTGTGCTTCTGTTTATATAAAATCAATTCAAGAAATACTTGTTAAATTCCAGTTAGTTGCAATCCCTGGTGGTTCAGCTGGTAAAGAATCTGCCTGCAATGTGGGAGACCTGGGTTCAATCCCAGGTTGGGAAGACCCCCTGGAGAAGGGAATGGCTACCCACTCCAGTATTCTGGCCTGGAGGATTCCATGGATTGTATAGTCCATGGAGTCGCAAAGAGCTGGACACAACTGAGCGACTTTCACTTTCACATGTAGTCTGAGGATAAAGTAAATAAAATCTCATTTTTGCTGTTAAGAAATTCACAGGAGAGATGGTTATATATATAAGTAATTATAATGTACATTTCAATTAAAACAATAGAAAACTTATAAAAATAACAAATTACAAAGTACTACTTATTAGTTTCTATTTGGTTTGTTATTGCTCTCTCACAGACCATTATTTCACGTGACAATATGAAAAAAAAAATCACACACTAATTTCTATAGTGCTACAATAAAATTAAAATGAACCAAAACAGAAAATATATCTCAAGAAATTTGAAAAGCATCATAGTGAAAATAGACTGGAAGAAGTTGAAAGACATTTCTTGCTCTTGGATAGGATGATTTAAAACTACAAAGATGGTAGTTCTCCCTAAATCTGTAACAATAAACTTCTTTAAAGAGTTGGGTAAGGTTGATCCTCAAGTTCAGATGGAAAATCAGACCTGCATGAATACCTATCAGAACATACTTTAAAGCCTCCATACTTAAAATAAGTATAATATTGGTGCATGAATGAATGTCCACAGACAGAAAGAAATACATATAGGAATTTGGTAAATAACAAAGGGAGCATCTTTAATCACTGAGGCAAAGATGACGTTTTTATTTTTAAAAAATAGTTATTTATGTGTGTATGGCTGCTCTGGGTCTTCACTGCTGTCTCTGAGTTTTCTCCAGTTGCAGATGGGGCTACCCTTTGTTGCAGTGCACAGGCTCTAGGTGCTCAGGCTTCGGTAGGTGTAGCATATGGGCTCAGTAGCTGTGGCTCATGAGCCTAGTTGCTCTGTGCCATGTGGCATCATCCCAGACCAGGGATCAAACCCATGTCCCCTGCATTGGCAGATGGACTCTTAACCACTGGATCACCAGGCAAGTACCAAAGATGATATTTTTAAAAACTGAGCCTGGGACATCCTTGAAAAGGGATACAATTATATCCCTCTTATACAGAAAAATAAACTTCAAATAAATTAGGGTCTAAATGTAAAAAGTGAAACCATTTAAATAGTAGAAGATTACTTGACTGTGGCATGTCTCAAAATCCAGAGATGATAATAGAAAAGACCAATAAGTTTGACTCCATAAATGAAAAATATTTGCATGGCAAAAATCATCATAAATGAGGCCAAAGACAACTTAAAACTGAGAAAAATATTTTCAATATACACCACTGTAAAGAGTTAATATCTCTAATTTATAAAGAACAAGTAAAAGTCCAGGAAAAAGAAATTGATCAAAAATTCATGGGTAAAATGGGCAAAAGGTATGAACAGACAATTCACAAAATGACATAGAAATGACCCTTAAACACATAAAAGGTGTTCAATCTCACATGTAAATTTAAATTGAGATAAAATTTTTTAACCTATCTGACAAAAGTGTGACAATATATTAATCTATTCCACTGGCAAAACCTGTGGGGTATCAGACACTGGCATATGTCGCTGATAGTAATGCAAATTGGTAGAATGGAGAGGAATTTGGTAATATCTGATGAAACCTAATACGCATTTACTTTGTGACATAGCAACTGACCTCTAGGAATTTACCCTAGAGATATACCTTCAAAAGTAAGAAAATACTATGCAAAATCTCTGAAGCACTGCTTGCAACAGCAAAATACTGGAAACAATCTAATTATCCATAAATTGAAGAGTGGTTGAATAAAATATGGTACATCTACCAAGGGAATACTATGCAGTGATAAAAATGAATGAGGAAGATTTCTATAATGAATACGGATTGATTTCTAGAAGAAAAAAACCAAAGTGCAAAAGAGTATCTACAGTAGTATGCTATCTCTTCTAAAAATGAAAGGGATATAAGAAAAGATACAGCTGTGTGAAAGAAATTCGAGAAGGGCAATTAAGCTGAGACTATTTACCTATGGGTTACAGATGGACTAGGGGTGGAAGGAGGGGGAGACGGGAACTTCGGGTATGGGGAAAAGGTGGCAGCACTTCTCTGAGCACACTTTTTGTGCATGTTTGATTTCAGAACAACATTATATTCACATAAGCAAATAAATACAGTACATTCATAAATAAAATAAACAACGATATGATAAAAAGAACCCAAACTGACAAACAAACAGAAAAATACAAACTTAAATTGCACTTCAGATGAATAACATAACACATTACAGGAAGGGAAATCTACTGAAATAACTCAGTACTTTGATGTATACTTTCAGTAGACAAATAGTAAAATCCCAATGAGTAGGTTTGTTTTCCATAGTGTTACAGGTTAACAACACCGAAACTACTTAATGTGTGCTCCAGGACTGAGTAAAGTCCATGCAAAGTGCATCAGGAGAGTCAGGTTTCTCACAACCAGAGAAGAGTGCTAAAAGACACGGGAAGGGGGAGGGCTAGAAGGAACAGCATGGAGGTGAAGTGGGATGGACTGGAATGAAAGGTATCAGCATCAACTCCTGGTTTGTATACAGATATACAGAAAAAGATACAGACATGTTTGCTTCCCTGTGTGAGTATGTATGTGCATACATGCATATGACATGTTTATGTTTTTATATGAGAATGTGGTACATATACATTATATATGTTTACATGTGTGTACATGTGTAGTATGTTCATGTATAAATACTTATACATGTGTATATGTGTATTATATATGCTGCTGCTGCTGCTGCTAAGTTGTTTCAGTCATGTCTGACTCTGTGTGACCCCACAGATGGCAGCCCATCAGGCTCATCTGTCCCTCGGATTCTCCAGGCAAGAATACTGGAGTGGGTTGCCATTTCCTTCCCCAATGCATGCATGCATGCTAAGTCGCTTCAGTTGTGTCCAACTCTGTGAAACCCTATGGACAGCAGCCCACCAGGCTCCTCTGTCCACGGGATTCTCTAGGCAAGAATACTGGAGTGGGTTACCATTTCCTTCTCCGTATTATATATGAAAAGAGAGCAAAATAAAAATAAATATATTTCCAGTCCTCTTTGCTGAAAGATCCTAGAAACAATAAGATCCCAGCAGCAATGAGCACATGCACACCCAAATCTTGGTTTCTAAATATCATTCTCCACTGAAATGGACCAGTACTTCTTGAAATAATAGCTGATTTCAGACCTGGGGCAGGGAATGGGCAAGGATTGGTATGGGACATCTCAGCATGCCAGAAAATAAGTAAGCTCTCAAAGAATAGTAGAGACATTTAATTTTTTAATCAAAATATAAAAAATACATATGTATAAATATATGACAGATGTATGATTTATTCACTGAAATTCAGACAATAATGCTGAGAGAAATTTTAAAAGACCTAAATATATAGATAGAGAAACATTGTATTCAAGGACCAGAAAACTCAGTATCCTTAAAATGTCAATTTTCCCCAAATTCATCTGTAGATTCAATGCAGTCCCAATTAAAATGCTAGCAGGCTTTAAGTAATTAACAAGCTGACTTTAAAATTTATATAAAAATGAAAAGAACCTAGAAGAAACATAACATTAAAGAAGAATAAATTTGGAGAATTTATACTACCTAATATCAAGACTTACTATACAACTTTTAAAAGAAAACAGAATAAAAACTTGGTGGTTGGCAAAGATTTCTTAAACACAGCACAAAAAGCATGAACTATAAGGGAGTCAATTATTATTCATTGAGATAAAAAATGTTTGCTCTTTAAGACACATTGATTAGAAAAAAAAAAAACAAGCCAGAAACTGGAGAAAACATTTTCTCCAAAACATAAATCTGACAAATGACTTATAGCTATACAACATATATAATTCAAAACTAATAATGCAAAATGCATTTAAAAAGCAAGCCAAAGACATGAGTAGACACTTCACTATACACAAAAAAATCTGTGGATGGCAAATAAGTATAGAAAAAGATGCTCAGCTGACTCACTGGAAAAGACTCTGATGCTGGGAAAGATTGAGGGCAGGAGGAGAAGGGGACAACAGAGGACGAGATGGTTGGATGGCATCATCGACTCGATGGACATGGGTTTGGGTGGACTCCGGGAGTTGGTGATGGACAGGGAGGCCTGGCGTGCTATGGTTCATGGGGTCGCAAAGAGTCTGACGCGACTGAGCAACTGAACTGAACTGAACAGCACGTTAGTTATTAGGCAAATGTAAATTCAAACATGAGATACCACAACACATCTTACTTGAAAGGCTAAAATAAAAAAGTCCAACCACACATACCAAATGTTGGAAAGAATGAGGAGAAACTAGAACTTATATGCACTGCTAACGAGAATGTAAATGGCACAATGACTTTGGAAAACAGTTTAGGACTTTTTCCAAAAGGTAAAATATACATGTATGATAAGACACAGCCATTCTATGCTTAGGTATTTATAGAAGAGAAATGAAAGCGTTAAGTCCATATATTAATGTTCATAGCAGCTCTCTTTGAAATCTGCAAACTGGAAACAACCCAAATATATGTAAGAGATGACTGTATAAAGTGTGTCTATTGACAGAATGGAATAAATGGAATGAACTCAATAACAAATAGAAATGAATTACTGATAATGCAAAAATAGATGACCCTCAAAATAATTATGCAGAGTTAAAGAAGCCAGACAAAAGAGTATATACTGCATTCTTTTGATATAAAAGTTTCAGAAATAATATGTTAAGTTTCTGGTCCTTAATATATTCATAATATTAACATATTAAGATAATAACAGAAAGGATATTAGTGGTTACTGTGAGGGAGAGATGATTACCAAAGAGCATGAGGAAACTTGGAGTGATGGATATGTTAATTATCTTGATTGTGGTGATGGACATCCAACTTATAAATTATGCAAGTTAAATATGTACAATTTATTGTATAACACTGAACAACAAAAAGGCTATGGGATGATAAAACAGAGTTTAGGAGTTCTCGTTGACTAATCTGGGGCAATTTGATTAACAAAATAAATATGACAGTGACATATGACCCATGGGATAAGGAATTCATAAGTTCATACTGACAAAAATAAATAAGGAGGGAACGTTCCAGCTCATATCAGAATGTGAACTAACAAATGTAGAAGAAATGATGGAATCAGAAAAATTATTATTTGGCAACTATCCCAGTAATAAATGATTCAAGTAAGACTCTTCAATAGATGAAAACTAGAGTTTTAAAACATGAAAGTTTGATAACAAAACCTGATGTTTAGAATCTCAAAAGTACTTCTCTAGAAGGTACACACTTATTACAAAACAAAAATCAGTAATTTTACAGGGTGAGAACCATGGCAGACACCAACTGAACCAAGTTACCCAAGACAGCATTGTAAGGAATGAGACAGATACATGACACAGAGGATGCAACATTATTTCTGTAGTATTCCTGCCAAAAATGAGAAACCTTTTTTATAAACTCCAGTTGAAAGACATTCTGCAAAATAAATGCCCTGAAAATAAATTTTTTAAAAATTCAAAAATTTCCAAAACAGTAAAAAGATATGAAAAACAAAGACTAAGGAACTCTTCCAGGTTGAAGGCATGACAAGTAAATGCAATGAATGATACAGAGTCCAATGGCATTCTAAAAGTACCTACAATGACTCCAAATTTTTGTTGCTGTTGTTGTTGCTGGAAATGACTTTTACTTGAATCTAAGTTTAAGGGAGATTGGAGGAGATTATTACGAAGCTAAAACTCAAAATTCTCTATGACTCCAAGTTCATACTTTGTTTATTTTACTAATGAGTTTCATTGGAATGACTGATGCTGAAGCTGAACCTCTAATACTTTGGCCACCTAATGCGAAGAGTTGACTCACTGGAAAAGATTCTGATGCAGGGGAAAATTGAAGGCAAAAGGAGAAGGGGGTGGCAGAGGATGAGATGGTTAGATAGCATCACCAACTCAATGGACATGAATTTGAGCAAACTACGGGAGACAGTGAAGGAGACCGGAGCCTGGTATGCTGCAGTGCACGGGGTTGCAATGAGGAGGACATGACTTAGCAACTGAACAACAAACTCATTAGAAATGTGTTTGCACTACCCCAAGTGATGAATCAAGCTTGTGCTTACCTTAAATCCAGCTTTATGGGTTTTTGATATGCAAATGAAGAAATGTAACTGTCAGTCAATTCAGCAATTAAATGATCATTGAAAAAACAGACAGGAGAATAAAAGAGATGGTGTATTACAGAAGTAAAAATAAAATTATGCTGAGTTACCAGATATAATATAGATCACTAGCTAATATGGCCACAACATCTTTCCTGTTATCATTTATAATTGTGTAAAGTATCTTTTCAAATTAATAGTAACACTCATGATAGCAAGAATTTTAATAGTAGAGGTCACATATTTTTAAATTATTGAGTTTTATGATTTTGTTTCCCAATTCAGAAATGCCGACATGCCTGCTCTGTGTTTGTTTAAGTGGCTCTGTATACTGTGAAGAAGTTGACATTGATGCTGTACCACCTTTGCCAAAGGAATCAGCCTATCTTTATGCACGATTCAACAGAATTAAAAAGCTGACCGCCAAAGATTTTGCAGACATACGTAAGTTAATTTTAAATAAAATATTAATGTTAACTCATGTTGGTTATTTAACTCATATAAACACAAGTTCCTAGGTACCTGTGGCCTATCACATGTGGGATAGTCACTGTTGGGGTATTTTAAGTATCCTGCCAGGAGGGTAGCCACACAGAGCAACTATGTCTGCAGTCAAATCCAAGTCCTGGATCACTCATCCCAGAAAAATTTTCTATATTCCAATTTCATCAAGGGCTTCTGAAGAAAATTATACCAAGAAATGCACACTGGCTCTACTACACATTTACAAGATTAACCATACTGAATTCATGCTGTCACTGGTAGTTCCCAACGGATTGAATACAGCTGTTTCTCATTATTTGTGGATTTTATGTTTTCAAACTCACCTACTTTATAAAATTTACTTGTAACCCCAAAATAAATACTTCTGGCACTTTCATGGTTATTCACAGGCATGTGCACACTGGCAAAAATTTGAGTCATCCAGGTGAGGTGGAACAAGATGCTTTGTCCTTTACTTCAGCTTTAAACAAGAACCTTGTTTACGGTCTACTTAGTGCAGTATTTTTCACTTTTCATTTTTTGGCTTTTATGCTGTTTGAAACACTCCCTAAATATAGTACTGAAGTGCTGTATATTGTTCCTAATCGCAAGAAGGCTGTGATGTGCCTTCCAGAAAAAAATACGTGTTAAGTACTCTTCATTTAAGTGAGTTACAGTGCTGTTGGCTGTGAGTTTAATATTAATGTAGCAACAGTATATACTAAATAAGATGCCTTTAAAAAAGAAACACATATAAAATTTTCTGATTGGCTGATGAAAATGTGTGATGAAAGGCTCGAATCCTGTATATTCCCTAGGAGCAATGGTTCCATATTCACTAATTCAGCATTTGTGTCGACTTTATAGATGACTACCTTGAATAGTGAGAAGTGACCATATCTCCTAATCATCCTAGACAGAACAAAAGTGATGCATACATACACACACATATTGAATTTCTCTCTCAGTATGTACCATGTTAACAAATTAGGGAACATTTTTGCCTTTGTTGTTTTTAACCAATAATGCATGGAGAGATTAAGATAATATACCCACAATCACAGGGGTTTCCCTGGTGGCTAAGATGGTAAAGTATCTGCTTGCAATGTAGGAGGACCTGAGTTCAATCCCTAGGTCAGGAAGATCTCCTGGAGAAGGGAATGGCAACCCATTCCAGTATTCTTGCCTGGACAGGATGCCAGGGACAGAGGAGAGGAGCCTGATAGGCTACAGTTTATGGAGTTGCAAAGAGTCAGACACAACTGAGCAACTAATACAAACAAAACAAGCCCATAATCACAATGCAACAGGTTGGCAAGAAATCCAAAAATATTTACATGATTCTATTCAATCAAACATAATGTTTGCTTCCCATAATTTGCAACAAAGAATTTCTTTCAAATTACTTGAGCATACTGAGAATTTAAATAAAAAAGGATGGAAAGACTCTATTAACTTAAAGTTCCCTTCCAAGCCTGAAATTCTAGAACTCCAGTGAGAAGTTCCCTCTCAAGCCTGAAATTCTAGAACTCCAGTGAGAAGTTCCCTTCCAAGCCTGAAATTCTAGAGCTCCAGTGAGAAACGCTATCAGTGTCAAGCACTGAGTATATGCCGAGTACTCATTCAATAACACTTACTGAGCTACTAATTGTACATGTTCTGCAAAGCACTAAAAATACAAGAAATTTGAAATACCTGTTAAATAAATGCTTTTCCTCAGTCCACACAATTAAGAATTTAACTTCATGTATTTAAAAATTTTTTCTGTATTGTTTACATATTTTTCCTTCAAGCTAACTTAAGACGACTCGATTTTACGGGAAATTTGATTGAAGACATAGAAGATGGTACTTTTTCAAAACTTTCTCTGTTAGAAGAACTTACACTAGCTGAAAACCAACTACTGAAGCTTCCAGTTCTCCCTCCCAAGCTTACTTTATTTAACGCAAAATATAACAAAATCAAGAGCAGAGGAATCAAAGCAAATGCATTCAAAGTAAGTATTTTATAGTATGACTGAGCACAGTATAATGTCACCGTTATACAGCCAATAATAACATGATAAAATAAAAAGAAACTATAGCCTAGAATTTTGTTTTAAAACTATTACATAATAAATAGTGATGTTATTAGGCTTATTCAAGTCTAGCTTATGCCTGTACTTCACTTAAAATAACTTTATTTTGTTTCACGGGACTACCTGGTGTCACATCTCTTTCCCTACACAGCAAATATTTATTTATATAGACAAAGACTCATGGCACCAAGAGTCCCCAAAACCTCAAAATGGAAATTTTCCTGTGTTTCTTCTTCCCTACAGTATTAGTAATTTATAAACACCAGAAAAATCATGCTCTAAAGACTGAATTTTATTTTTAATACTTAAAAGTATTAGACCATAGAATTCTGTATGAAGATACTCTTTTGAATTCCATGATGGCACCTAAAACAAAATTCTATATGTAGTAAAAATTAAATATATTTCTTAATTTAGTCATTCAAGAAAATAAATGTTCAGGAAAAAGGGAAGGTGATTTACTTTGATTTAGTTAGCCAGGTTGTCTCAAGATGCACAGCCTACAGAGAAGTAATCACCTCAGCCCAGGACTTCCACAGATCTGAAGTATTCATTCCCAGTCCTGGAAGAAATCCCACATAAAAGATTGAGATAATCATGCTACTGGTTAGCAACAAAAGACCCTGCTCAAAATAGAGGATTGTAGCTCCTTTTGACAACTCCTAACAGTTCCTCAGAAGTTAAGGAACTCTTAAGAGGACTTTCAGAAACTGGACTTACTTTAAAAACAAACAAAAAGATGCTTGTAATTTGAACATACCCAATTTGAGCAGGTAAACCTCTGAATAACTGGTATGTTAAAGACCTACAGGAGCTGGTCAACATTTACAAAAGAAGTATTTGAATATTTTGGATTTTACACATGGATTACAGAAGGGATTCATGACAAATTGGCAACAAAATGATAAAGTCAGCTATTTTCTAGTTTTGCTTAATGCCCAAGGCTGCAAAAGCCACTGGTAAAATCAAGTCACTCTAATCCATGTAAAGAGGTCCACTGGGGAGGACAGGAGCTTGATTCTTATATGATGGATTGTAGGATGCTTAAAAGGGCTTCCTAGGTAGTACAGTGGTAAAGAATCTACCTGCCAAAGCAGGAGACTTGGGTGGGATCCCTGGTTCAGGAAGATCTCCTGGTGTAAGAAATGGCAACTCACTCCAGTATTCCTCGCCTGGAAAATCCCATGGACAGAGGAGACTGGTGGGTTCCATGGGTCACACAGAGTTGGACATGACTGAGTGACTAAGCACACATGTAGGATGCTTAAGAAAGGATTAAAATAACAACAAATTAATTCTAAAAAAAAAACACAAATCCAAATTCTGCCATAGGATGTATATCAAAATTAAGGTAAAACATTACTGTCAGGGGAAACTATCTTGAAACTACAAAATTATACACAATAATGGGTTATTGATTATGAAGAGTAATCTAATGTAGATCCCTTGGGGGGGGTAAAAAAATCATACAGAGCCACGTATTTAATACATTGCTTTGGAAGATATCTTACTAACAAGCACACACATCTCTTAGGAATATTCATTCTACTACAAGTTGGTGGAGCTGAAATGGAAAGTTCTGGAGGTTCAAGAGAGGTTATAGCAGTGCCAGGATCCAAATACAATCCTGCATAAGCATTAGCATCATCACCTATTCCAAAGACAAATTTAAAGAGCCCCAGAAATTGACTGAGGCTGAGGCTGGCTATGACTGGGTATTCAGATGTGAGATTGAGTAGACAGACATGGGGATGCATTAGGGTTCTACTGCCCTTTTTAAAGGACTGAGATACACTACTTGTAAAACCAAAACAACACAACAAAACAACAAACAAAAAATCCCACCAAATCAAAAACTACCATACCAATGATTAATAGTATTGGTACATGTCTATATCTGTGTATTTATACATATGTGTATATAGCTTGAATTGTGAAGAAATGCACTGATCTCAGAAACATGTCTATATCTGTGTATTTATACATATGTGTATATAGCTTGAATTGTGAAGAAATGCACTGATCTCAGATATCAACTCAAGCAAAAGCACCTTTTCCTTACAGAAACTGAGTAACCTCTCCTTCCTCTACTTGGATCACAATGCTTTGGAATCTGTGCCTCTTAATTTACCAGAAAGTCTGCGTGTAATTCATCTTCAGGTATGATTGCTCCTTTCACAGTATCAGACTTTAATTCAAATTACTATGGGTCAATCTTACGATTCATTAGGAAATTCACTTACTTATATGTAAATGTTGCCCATCAAAAGCATTAATATTTAGTCAAATGCTCTCTCTTGCCCAGAAGCCACAGTTCTATTCAGAGCAAAACCAAAGGACCAGTAACACCAGGTATGAGGTCTGCTCTTATAGTATGGCTTGCCTCCAGGTGTGCACCTGGCATCTCCTAGTTAATCTGACATGTGGATTTGAAAAGTTAGGGGACACTGAGACCTGTGGTTTATGTTTCTTTCTCCAAATGGCAGTAAACACTTGCTTTTGGAGACTTCCTAGCTGACTTTATTGTCCAACATCAAAGGTAATAGAAAAGTAAAGAGGGAATAAAAAGAAACTAAAAGTGGTCTTTCACCATCACAAGAATTCTCATTTGTTCTTTTTACTTCTTTAAAGTATATTTAAGGACACAGTACCCATTTTGAGTTGACACTCTACAACAGGATACTTTTTCCAGCTAGTATAATCTTATTTGTACTCAGAAATTTGTTACATACCTGAGTTTTATTCTTAGAAAAAGCAAGTAGTCTGTTCTTCCAAAGTGATACTGTAGACTTTAAAAAGGGAGGCTCAGATTGCTCAGACAGGGTTTTTTTATTATCATGAAGATGGATATACAGTATGTACAGTATTTTAAAAATCACTTCTTTTATCGACAGATAAAATATTCTGCCAGACCTCAATACACAGCATACAAAGGATTTATAAACAATTTTTTCCTTTTGTTTTCCAGTTTAACAACATAACTTCAATTACAGATGATACATTCTGCAAGGCTAATGACACCAGTTATATTCGGGATCGCATTGAAGAGATACGCTTGGAGGGCAACCCCATCATCCTGGGAAAACATCCCAACAGTTTTATCTGCTTAAAAAGATTGCCTGTAGGGTCATACATTTAACCACCATCAATGCAGCGTAGCTAAAGTACACACATACTTATAATCTGTCTCAACAATGTCTAAAGGAGCATAAATATTTAATATTAATTTTGTATCTGACTATTGAAGGAACTTATGTTTTAAGCAAGGATGTTAAAAAAAAGTCTTACATATAACAACAAGTAAAAAGTAAGATTGACTCTCTAAGTTCAAAACAGAAATGTGAAAATATTTGAACAGAATTACAAAATTCCTGTAGTTTGTAATAGAGTACCACTTAAAAGGTATGTTTTTATATAAATACCCAAAATTAAGAAGCGTCACAAAGTTAAAGGATAGGTCCAAGAAACTTTCAACTGTCTTTCCTGGTTTTCACTGGATCCCTAAAGCTTTTAAAGCATATGTTCCAAAGACTGAAAAGCTGAATATTTCTAAGGATCTCTCACTTTTCTTTCTTTTATGATTTATACATTATTCATTATGAAGTAGGAGCTCTGTTTTTTTCTTTTAAGGCAGCTACTATATTTTTACTTAGCCTGAGAAATAGGGTATAGTCTCATACCTAAGCAAAACTTTCCAAATAAAGCATAATTTTACTCTCTTGACAAAGAGCTAATATAGTAATGTTCAATTATTCTGTTCTGTGGTCACACAATTAAAAGCTTTAGTAAAGTAGTACAAAAATTTATTTAATCTAAATAATCAACATTCTAAGTCCACCACAAAACATTTTAGGAAGCTATAAGCACATCAAAATCAGTATGCTTATAAAAAAATCTGAAAGTCCACTCTGTTTCTCAGAATAAAGACATAAAGTTCTCCAACATCAAGTCTTTCAATTATGATGTAACTGCAAAATATTTTTTATACTATACGAATGAATCTCATCAATAAATTTATCCAAATATAAGCTATGAAAACAAAGAAAATTCTGTGGCATTACTACTGCACACCACCTTCCCAACCACCCATACACATCGACGTTCATGAAAATAAGCCATTCATGTGTAAGAAAGCATCTCAGCAACATTTTCTAAAGATCCATGATTAACTGATATATTTAAAGATAAGAATTAATCTCCAATCTAATAGTGATGATTTATAACGGCACTGCTGCCAGAATGAAGTTCCTGAAATTACTTTCCTCTTGCCCAAACCCCATTCAAAATTCTTAGCTTCCACACTGCTTTGGGGTTGCATATAAAATTACCAGTGCTTTAGAAATAAGTCTGAACTGTGTATATAAAAATTACCAACATTGTTTCCAACATCAATTATAAATTAGAATCAAGTTGGTCTCTATCCTATTTCCAGAACAAATATTATTGGTGTTTTTTCATTTCATAATAAAATAATAAAAGTAAAAAGTATGCTGATCTCCATTACCTTAAATAGACAATGCTTTATTCTTGACACTGATAATGAAAGAAACAGAGGATTGAAATGTAAAATATTTTACTCTACAAACATTCCTGAAAGAAACTAAAGAAGAGACGCATAAATAGAACACCTTATGTTCATGAATGAAAGATGGAACAGTTAACAGGTCTACAATACCCAAAACAATTTATAGATTCAAAACAATCCTTATCAAAATCTCAATGTAATTTTTTGAAGAACTGGAGAAACCCACCAAAATTCATATGGAATCTCAAGGGATTCCAAATAATCAAAAGAAATTTGAAAGAAAGAACAAGACTGGAGGATTCTACACTTCCTCATTTCAAAATGTAACTACAAAGCTACAGTAATTAAAAGTGTGATACTGGCTAAGGACAGACATATAGACCAATGGAATAGAATAGTGAGACCAGAAACAAAACTTTGCATGTTTCAAACGATTTTTGAAAAAGGCATCAAGACCACTCAATTAGGAAAGGACAGTCTCTTCAACAAGTGGTGCTAGGAAAACTGGATATTCACTTGTGTAAGAATGAAGTTGGGCTGCTGGCTCACAACATACACTAAAATTAACTCAACCTGAATTAAACACCTAAACTTAAAGAGTTAATCTATAAAACTCCTACTAAAAATAAAGAGAAAATTCTGTATGACTCTGAATTTGGCAACAATTTCCTGGATATGACACTAAAAGCCAGGATAAAAAAGAAAAAATAGATAAATTGGACTTCAAAATTAAAAATTTCTATACATCAAAGGACACTATCAAGAAAATGAAAAGACAATTCAGTGAATGGATGAAAGTATGTGCCAATCATATTTGATGAGGTAAATATATAAAAAATATCTACAACTCAACAACAACAAAAAACCTGATGCAAAAAGGGACAAAGAACTTGAATAGACATTTCTCCAAAGAAGATATACAAATGGACAATTAGCACATGAAAAGATACTCAAAGTCACTAATTATTAGGGAAGGAAATGCAAATCAAAGCCAGAAAGAGATACCAATTTACACCCAATAGTATGGCTACAACAAACAAAATAAAAACAAAGACAAAACAAAAACCCAGACAATAAGGAATGTTGGCAAGGATGTGAAGAAATTGGAAGCCTCATGCCCTGCTGTTGGGGATGTAAAGTGGTGCAAGCTGAAAGAAAGAATTACCATACAATCCAGCAATTCCACTTACAGGTATATACTTAAAAGAATTAAAACTGAGACTTGAATAGATATTTGTACACCAATGACTTGAGAAGGACTATTCACACTAGCCAAAAGGTGAAAACAATGAAGTGTCTATTAACAGATGAATGAAACAAAATTTGGTAAGTACATATAACAGAATACTATCCAGGGTTAAAAAAGGAATGAAATTTTGACACATGCCACAATATAAATAAATCTTGAGGACAATATGTTAAATGAAATATTCTGGCAAAAAGAACAAATTTCATGATTCTGCTTGAACGAGATACTTAGTCAAAAAAAAAAAAAAGATACTTAGTCAAATTCACAGAAATGAAAAATAGAATGATGGTTCCCAGAAGCTGGGGGACAGAGGAATGACAAATTAAGTGTTTAATGGGGACAACGTTTTCAGTTTGGGATGATTAAAACATTCTGTGGATAAACACTGGTGATGAGTGCACAACCACGTGACTATTCTTTCCATTCTAACAACCTTGTCACCAGCAAAGACCAGTTCACATAAGCACTTTATCTGCTACAGGAAAAGCACACCAATTATACTTCTACACTTGCCTTAACAACACGCAGAGGAAAATCAGCTTGAAAATGGATCTAGTGCTCAGATTTCCCACCACTCATCCTAATGTAGAAGTAAATGGCCATATGATATCATTTATTGTAACTGCCAGGATGCTTCTCAATCATTACTCTATTTTACCAATTCTGATGAAGAAGAGCTATTTAATTGTTCTTGTTCAAGAGCACCTGCAAGTAAACAACATAATCCTGAGGACTCCTCAAGGAACCACAGCATAGTACAAATACCGGCAAGATTCATTCTGAAGAAAATATTATGCCTGACAGATTAGCTCAACCAAATAAAATGCAAATGATGATGATTTAAAAAAAGAATTCAAAATAAATGAGTGTTAGCACCAGTCATAAAAACAACAGTCATGACAAAAGTCATGACTCAGGATTTTGAGGAAACCTGAACCTTGCCATATTATTCATGTGAACTCTCTCAGAACTGATTTCTGTGTCAATAATTTGATCAATAATTCTGTCAATAATTTGATCCAATCCAACTAAGCATGAGTTGGAGGACTACAACGTAGCCAAACATAATTCTAGTTATGACAAACAAAAACAGGGAGTTTTAAAAATGTTGTTGAATGTATCTGCATCAGACCTAAGAAGCATTACTTTATAAGAATCAGACCTCATATTTAAACTTGAAATATACAATAAATAAGAAGCTTAAATACAGAGAGTGATTCAGGATGTAAAGATTACATTATGACATTATAAGGCTTCTATGCTTATATTCTTTACTAGAATCTGGCATTTTACTTCAAGTATCCTTGACAGATTAATTTTTCAAAATGTATATTATAAAATAAATGACTATAATTACTTTTCTTTCAATGAAAATGGTTCACTGACTTGTACAGAAGCATTCCTCCTCTATTTATTGCAAATAAATGCAAATTCCAAAAGCCAATAAAAATATTTTCTATTTTTTGAAAACTTTAAGAATGTTATCTTAAATCCCCAAATTGACATCAGCTTCACTTTCCATATATGTTTAAACTGGAAAACTTTAGACTCTACCTTGAAATGTTTAAATGTGTGCTTACGATAGTCACACCACTCCACAAAGCAGCGTAAACTTCGGAAAAACATAAGCAGATCTCTTTTTTCTTCTGCTCTGTAGAAATAAAAGGTTCTATGATTAATAAATATCATTCAATGAACCTCCCCAATCTGGTTTTATCTTGTTATTGCTTTTTACAGACCTGACACTAAAACTTAAAAAGTACTTGCTTGATATACTTCTATATACCAAACTCTGCATTTTTGAGTATGTGCCCCTGTGTGATTTCTCAGACTGGAATTCCCTTTTCTCCATTTTCAAATGTTTAAATCCTACCAATCTTTCAAGATATCACACAAATGCCACATCCTCCTTGGTACCTCATTTGATGATCTGTGGTATAATAAAGAATATATATGGTCTTGGTCACTAGTTCCTAGTCATTATTTCATGCAAGGATGGGCACAAAAAAGGGCAGAAATGGTAAGACCTAACAGAAGAAGAGATTAAGAAGAGGTGGCAAGGATATATGGAAGAACTATACAAACAAAGTCTTAACGACCAGGAAAACTCTATGGCGTGGTCACTCACCTAGAGCCAGACATCCTGGCTGGCTTAGGAAGTGTTACTGCAAACAAAGCTAGTGAAGGTGGTGGAATTCCAGCTGAGCTATTTCAAATCCTAAAAGATGATGCTGTGAAAGTGCTGCACTCAGTATGCCAGCAAATATGGAAAACTCAGCAGTGGCCACAGGACTGGAACAGGTTGATTTTCATTCCAATCCCAAAGAGACATAATGCCAAAGAATATTCAAACTACTGTACAGTAGTTTTATGGTGAGGACATCTGTGAGCACAAATTGTGCTCATTTCATGTGCTAAGCAAGGTAATGCTCAAAATCCTTCAAGTTAGGTTTCAACAGCACATGAACTGAGAACTTACAGATGTATAAGCTGGATATAGAAAAGGCAAAGGAACAGAAATCAAATTGCAAACATCCACTGGATCGCAGAGAAAGTAAGGGAATTCTAGAAAAACATCTACTTCTGCTTCACTGACTATGCTAAAGCCTTTGACCGTGTGGATCTCAACAAACTGTGGAAAGTTTGTGGAAAATTCTTAAACAGATGGTAATACAAGACCACCTTTCCTGTTTCCTGAGAAACATGATGCAAGTCAAGAAGCAACAGTTAGAACGAGACGTGGAACAATGGACTGGTCAAACTGGGAAAGGAGTATGACAAGGCTATATAATGTCACTCTGTTTATTTAATTCTATACAGGGTACTTGTGGCTCAGCTGGTAAAGAATCTGCCTGCAATGTGGCAGCCCTGGGTTCGATCCCTGGGTTGGGAAGATCCCCTGGAGAAGGGAAAGGCTACCCACTCCAGTAATCTGCTTAGAGAATTCCATGGACAGTCCGTGGGGTCACAAAGAGTCGGACACGACTGAGTGACTTTCACTTTCACACAGACTACATCATGTGAAATTCGGGGTTGGATGAATTACAAGTTGAAATCAAGACTGTTGGGAGAAATATCAACAACGTCAGATATGCAGATGAACTGACTCATTGGAAAACACCCTGATGCCAGGAAAGACTGAAGGCAAAAGGAGAAGAGGGTGGCAGAGGATAAGAAGATTGGATGGCATTACTGATTCAAAGGACATGAACTTGGGTGAACTCCAGGAGATGGCTAGGGACAGGGACACCTGGCTCTCTGTAGTCCTTGGGGTCACAAAGAGTGACAACTACCAGGGAGGGAGTGCAACCCCACCCATCAGCAGATAATTGGATTAAAGCTTTATTGAGTAAGTCCCTGCCCACAGAGCAAGACCCAGTTATTCCCATCACCCATCCCTCTCATCAAGAAGCTGACATAAGCCTCTTAGCCTCATACATCAGAGGGCAGACAGAAGAAACAAGAAGCACAGCCTCCCAGTAGCTAAAACAAAAACCACACTACAGAAAGTTAATCACAATGAAAAAGCAGAAAGTTAATGTTCCAGATGAAAAGACAAGATAAAAACTCAGAAAAAAAATTAATGAAGTGGAGATGAGCAATCTTCCAGAAAAATAATTGATAATAATGATAGTGAAGATGATTCAGGATCTCAGGAAAAGAATGGAGGCAAAGATTGAGAAGATGCAAGAAATGTTTACCAAAGACCTAAAAGAACTAAAGAACAAACAAACAGGGATGAATAATATACTAGAAAGAATCAATAGCAGAATAACTGAGGCAGAGGAACAGCTATACAACTGGGAGGACAGAATGGTGGAAATCACGGCCACAGAATAGAATACAGAAAAAAGAATGAAAAGAGATGAAGATAGCCTAAGAGAACTCCGCGACAACATTAAATGCACCAACATTCGATTATAGGGGTCCCAGAAGGAGAAGAGAGGAAGGACCTGAGAAAAATTTTGAGAAGATAATAGCTGAAAACTTTCCTAACAAGGGAAAGGAAATAGTCAACCAAGTCCAGGAAGTCCAGAGTCCCAGAAAGGATAAACCCAAGGAGGAACACACTGAGACACACAGTAATCAAACTGACAAAAATTAAAGAAGAGATAAAATATTAAAAGCAACAAGGGAAAAATGACAAATATCATACAAGGGAACTCTCATCAGGCTATTAGCTGATTTCTCAACAGAAACTACAAACTGGAAGGGAATGGCATGATATATTTAAAGTGATGAAAGAGAAGAACCCACAACCAAGAATACTCTACCCAGGAAGACTCTCCTTCAGATATGATGCAGAAATCAAAAGCTTTCCAGACAAGCAAAAGTTAAGAGAATTCAGCATCACCAAACCAGCTTTACAACAAATGCCAAAGGAGCTTCTCTAGGCAAGGAACACAAGAGAGGGAAAAGACCTACAGAAAATAAACCTCAAACAATTAAGAAAACGGTAATAGGTTCATACACATCGATAATTACCTTAAATGTAAATGGATTAAAAGACGTAGATTGGCTGAGTGGATGAAAACATGTGCATGTATACATTTCCACCTACCACATCACTCTGCTTGACCCCCTACCCCAAGTTGTATGTTAATTATTTTATATTGTTAAGTTAATCATGTTTCCATTATGGCTTGCAATTGTAATTATCTTTTATTTTTTGTCTGGCTATTGATTGTGAAAACTAATAAACATCTTTTACTATTGTGACTATGTAACTACTACTCAATACCATTATATCATGTTTGGTCAACAGAAAAATAATAGAACTCTATACTACCAATGCTATGCTTAGTCGCTCAGTCACGTCTGACTGCCAAAACTAGGATCTAATAGAAAACCCTGCAATCACTTTTTAAAATCCAGATGCATATCAGAATTATCTTATTTTTTGAAAAATACAAATGCTCAGGTATTACCTTTTTCCTCCAGAGCTCCAGATATGTTTCTAATGAACAATCAGGTTTAAAAACAACTGGACTATATGATGATTTTTTCCTTTTATCTAGTTTGTTTCACTTTTTCTATTTCATATTCAGTGCTCCCATTTCATTTAGTTTATGTTATTCAATTTCTCCATCTCTTTTTTAATTTTGATGTTCTTTCTCAAGCCTTTATCAAGCATAGCAGAAAAGCTTTTGTATACATATATATAAATGTATAATATATATTTTAGAAAACTTATAAATTTTTGCCTAACTAAAAAAATCTATGACATTTTGATTCCACTTGTTTGGCTTGGTATGACTAGAATGCTAGATTTCTAATTAAAAAATAGATATGCAACAAGCAAAAAAGGTTTACTGTATAGCATAGAGAACTATAGTTAATATCCTGTAGTAACTTATGATGGAAAATAATTTAAAAAATAATATATGTATATTTGTATAACTGAATCACCTTGCTGTGCACTTGAAACATTGTAAGTCAACTATACTTTAATAACAAATTTATATATATATATATATATATATATATATATATATATATATAAAGAGAGATTTGAGAAGCAGAGAGGAAAGTCACAGAGTAATAAAAATATCCACCTTCAATAATTTAGTAATCTGTCTGAATATAGAAATATTTAATATTTATATTCATTATGACTAACAGTATTTTTCAGAGATTGAATGACACACAACTGAGGGTATTTTGGGATATGTCATTTACTTGGAAGAAGTGTTTGGCCAAAGGAAAATTCAGTTAGAGATAAAATTGTATATTTAGATACCTTTGTTGAAAACTGTGTTGCATTATGGACAGTGGAATGGTATAAAAATAAATGTTTGTATAAAAGTTCTAATAAATAGCATTAATATGAGAAGAAAAAATCATGCAATTTAATCTACTGGACATGATAAAGTTTCTTTTGTGGTTTATTACTTAAGAGCAAAAGTTTTCAAAAAGTAGGCAATAAAATTTTTGATGCAGTTAAAAAAAAGAGAGGGAAAAGGGAAACCATGAAGTTCAGCTCAGTTCAGTCTCTCAGTTGTGTCCGACTCTTTGAAACCCCACAGACTGCAGCACGCCAGGCTTCCCTGTCCATCACCAACTCCCGGAGCCTGCTCAAACTCATGTCCATCGAGTTGGTGAGGCCATCCAGCCATCTCATTCTCTGTTGTCCCCTTCTCCTGCCTTCAATCCTGCCCAGCATCAGGGTCTTTTCCAATGAGTCAGTTCTTAAAATTCAACATAAAAATCATGAACAGTTTAAAGAAATACATATATAGAAAATATCAACAAAGAAATAAAAATAAAAACAGGAATTAAATAATTAAGTTAGAACTGCAAAACAGAATAACAAATACAGATCTCATCAAAAGGGTTCCACAGCAAAATGGAGATAGATGGCAGGAGAAAGAAACTTTAGATCAACAGAAATTATCCAATGCCAGAGAGAAAAAAGATTGGAGGAAAAAAAAGAGAAAATATTCTCAGAGTTGTGAAATAATAACAAAATATTTAACCTTCACATCATCAGTCTCAGAAGAACAGTGGAAAGGGCCTGGGACTGAAAAAGTAATTTGAAGAAAAGAGGACTAAATACTTCCCAAATTTGACTAAAAAAATAAACCTACAGATTCCCAAAGATGTCTAAACACAGAGAAATGATGATCATAAGAAAAGTTCTTAAAAGCAAGC